GAAGGAGCAGCATATACGGTATAATTATGATAAGAGGATGGAGTCAATATAGTTAATGATATTTTAAATGCTGAGAAAATGGACGGCATTCATCAAACTTTAGGAAAAACGACAAGGACTTCTGTGCTTGTCCAGACAACACTCTGAAACCAGCTGGACGTCAGCTCTAATTGAACTCTCACGTTCAAACCGGTTCTATCACTTTGACGTAATGAAAACATATCTGATCTAGCTAGAAGGTAAAGTCCCTCCCAAAAAACACATAAAGGAAAACGAAGTAATGAAACTCGCTTATGTATTCACCCTATCCTCGGCTAACAACTTAAGAGTCACTGAATAAGCAAAATGACAATAACATTGAAACGGCTGAATAATTTCACAATTATCTGTGCCGTTAATCTATTATATACAGTATATCACCCATTTGCTTGCGTCTTGCCAACAGTGATTAGTGACCGACTGAACGCTTTTCCGATCTGGGACAGAAGCACAAAGGGAGCCAGGTCAGTGGGGAGGAAGCATATCGCGCCCCAGCCAGGCCATCTGTGATCATGTTGCCCGGTGCGCGAGTCACTTGCAAGCCCTGATTTACTGGTCGCAACCCAAACATCAACAACATTCGCTCGGTGTCCTGTGGCCTGTACTACGAAGCGGGGTTACTGGCTTATCGGGGTAACTTGTTGGATTTAAGGTAGTCTGACAAGTTACCCCGATAAGCCAGTAACCCCGCTTCGTAGTACTGGCCACAGCTCTAGAAATCCGGCACGGAATTAAAACATGGTGATTACGCTTCTGCTAAGACAGAGCCCGCGTGGTCTCTACAGTACCCCCTGCACCTTAGGGAATATATTTCAGATTTAACCAGAGTTTCATTTTAAACTACTTCAGTTCAAGTTTAATGTCATATGTACTTGGTACAATGCAACGCTTACTCGTTTATCTCCTATAGAGTGCCAGTGATACATAACAGGACAAGTAGAAGTCAGTATTTTTAAAGTAGCCAGCAAGTTTATTAAGATGCATACTGTGCTATGCTCACCGAAAGTATTTAAGTACCACAACTAAAGCGTAAAAGCAAAACCCTTTCGCCTTAATCAAAACAAGGATCAAGGATAATGAACCAGAAATGTAAAATGATTTGTTTGCAGCAATATTTGTATCAACACGCATAACTCTGGATCTATTGTACACGGCGTATAACAAATACGTGCAAGAGTTCATCGTATTAAATCCCTCCTGCGCCGTTCAGGGGATTAGATATGCCACATTGTGCAGAACGTAGTGCGCTGTAGAATAGAGATTAAAGCCAGCGACGGGGAAAGCCTGACCCCTGGTGTTGAGAAAGGGAGATACAACACAAATTTACCAAATAACAAGAGCGCTGATAATCTATTTGGGCTACATCAGAATGTCACTGTTCATCTGCAGTGCCAGTAACAGTGATACTAGTAAGAGGAATTGAGATACAAACTGTTTCCCTCCGTCTTTTGTAATATCATGCAAGAGAGTGACAATGAAAAAAGTCACAGCCTGAGTAGAGGAGAAATTAGAATTATGACTGCATTGATTAAATGGCGTTTATTCGCAAAAATTCCTAGCAATGACGTGTCATTTAGGCCTACTAACCAAATCCTATAAAAACTATTTTGACCACAAGGAATACGCCCCATCACATGCAATACCACCCTCAAACCCAGTGCCTGATAATGTCACATGTGACACAGTGGGCAGACTGGCTGACATCCCAGTTAGCAATGAACGTGTGTGTCAGACCCGGCTGTCAACACGAAGGGCGGCAGGCAGCCCCAGCCACTCTATGGTGGGCTACTGCTAATCTTTAGCCCAGAGGAATTGAGATGCTGTCACTATTTACGTTTGAGCCTAATTATCTTCCACGTCTCCTTCACAGTTGAGTGCCAAACTATATGTAAATCAGCACATGACGTTACAACTAAATTATGACAAATGTGCCCAGAATTGATGCAATCAACGTGCTCATAAGGCAGATTGACTCTGCTGCATGCATTCTCACGCTACCTTTTCGTAAGTGTGTTTTCTTATTAGTCTTTGTAACACTGAAAATTAAATCTATATTTCAATAAAAACTGAAGACAGTTAAACTGGGAGAAAGACATGTACTGTTCTCGACTTCAACCATTTGCTAACCACAAAATCACTTAAGTCGCTAACTTTAGTTTCTGGCCAGCTCTGAAACAATACAATCAGACATAAAATAATCTGATACCACAAGCGTCTGTGACAATGTTTCGGATTTGAGCTCAGCCCACAAGTTGGCTGATTAGTATTGGCATGTAAGCCTACCATATTTATCAAAGACAAATGTAGAGAGCATTGATTTCCATAATTTGTTAAGGGACCATCCCTTAAGACTCTAAAAGAAGGATGTGTGGTGTTGTGCGAATGACAGACATCCCACCTCTCTTTCCAGGCGTCTCCCACAAATTGACAGCAGCTCTCCGACTCCCATGCGCGATGAGCAATGTTCAGGAAGTCTTCCCACAAACCATTACAAATGATGTAATACAGGGCCAGGGCTGTGGGTGGGACGTCTGCCCACTCAATGGATTGTCACCCTGACTGCCCCTGGTCAACAACCTTTATCATGCCCCACCCTGGTCGACAAACTTTAACGTTCCCACCTGCCAAGGGTGTAACTTTGGTTTGAACATTGGGTGGGTTGCAATCTCCATCCATTTAGGGGGAAACATGATTATTGTGGGGATTGTATTAGCCGGTTTAGATTATTGGGAGGGGGGGGGGGGTCACATCCCTCCAGTAATTTACGCCCATGCCACCCCCTCCCCACCCCAGATTGAATAGACGCTCAGTTTGTTGCCCTGCACTAAGCACAGCCGTAATAATCGCTAAGGAGATCTCATTCTTCTAAATCCCAGTTTCATTTCCCGGCTAAAACCCATACATACCGCCACTGGCTCACATTAATTAAGTGCTATGGATCGTCGCATTTTCTCCGTTACTATTATAACTATACATTCGCAAGATCTGGGCTGCAAATAGCGGAAGCAGTTTCTAAATATCGAGTGTTCCTTAAATTGTACGATACATTATCAGATGAGAAATGTACTCCTTAATTTTATCCTTAAATTACTGTCTGCTGTTTTACTGTTTCAAATTAATGGTCCACTTCGGCTATCTTATAGACGGCGGGCACAAAATAACCTCCAAACTCTCATACAGGATTACATTTACTCACTTCCCCATTTTTTTTTTATCCAAATATGGAAAGGCATTTAAAAGGACAGGGTTTTATTACCGGGCTCCACCTAACATATTTTATCAAGCTTTTAAAATATGAAACCATTGGGATTGCATGGAAGTGAAAAACACTCTTAGAAATCGGACATCAGGGAATTACACAAGTAAGAAGCACTTACCGGGTAAGAAAGACGAGCCCACTGCGCCTACAGCTACACTAAACAACTTGTTTGCCACAAACCTTGTAGGGTTTGTAAACCTACTCCACTCTTCTCTGCTCGAACCCTGAAAAACGCAGATTTTTTAAATATACTTTTTACTTAAAGAGATCCTCTTGCCAGGCAAAAGCTCCTGACAGATGTTTTACGTGGAAAATGACGTCAGGAGGGGACGGGCGCCGCGATCGCTCATTCACTGCAGCACGAGCCCCAACCAGCTGTTTAGCGGCTGCCAGCATGGATGAGTCGCCGTTACAACGCTCCCCACATCAGGGAAGTGAGTCACACTATATCCTCGGAGTATCACTGTTGTGAGAGATTGCTTTGGAGAAAGAGAAGAAATAACGGAGCTGGAACTGACCTGCTTTAGGAAGATTCAAAGCAATGCCGTTTAACAAAGTGAAATTAAAGGTGTTTAACAAGTGCGATACAGTGATTTCAGGTGGAGAGCAGCCTGGAGCAGACCTCCGCGATTATTCGGTCTCCGTGCGGCCAAGAATGTGACCGATCCGTCCAGGTAAAACAGGAAAAGTCACCATCAGCAATGAATATCTCCAGCTTTCTTAGCCGCTGTTAGTTATTTACGATAATATTACAAAGTCCCGGATGCAGCGAGTCCGGCCAGATGTGCAGCATTGCTGGGGTCCAGCCCCTTTCACGGCGGCTTCTTTCCCCACCGACGCTCCTCCATGAGAATGTTGATCGTCTTTCCTAACAACAGCGGTATTATTTCCTCCAAACAATGGAAAACTTCTTAATCCGATTACGTCTTTACGCAATTATTCATACTACTATTTCATTTCACAAATTCATACTGGCAATGAACTTTACACACTGTTTCATACTTGACGTATATATAAATAAAAACAAAAATATGTTTATTCAAAGATGAAATTATAGGCAACCAATATTTTTCCAGTATTCCATTGAATGGTTAACAAAGCCTTGATTTAAAGCGGTAATTTGAAGTTATTTTGTCACCCAACTAAGCATAAGGTATAGCGTCTGGAAAACGAACTTACAAAAAGTCAATAGTACAGGAGCAGACGAGCGGCTCACGTATAATCAAGGTAATTTACAGCTTTACTTACCGGGTAACTGTTTGATTTCCAAAAACTCAGCGTTCGATCCTTTCCGTCAATATACCACTCGGAACAATACATGCATTTAGTTCGATTAATAAAATGGAAATCTTAATAAAAATAAAATATCCAATAAGTCGGTCTCATAGATTAGATGTTAAAATGTTACGTCAGACTTTTATGGAGGCACGAGGTTAAATTCCCCTTCATCCGGCTACTGGCTGCAGGTTTATCGAGGAGGAAGGGAGGGAGCTGAATTCTTCTTTTGAAAGGAAAGTGTTTTGTATTGTGAGGCGTATTCAGTTGGGAAAAAAAGGAAATGAATGAAATGCCCGTCGGTAACATATACCAAGATTTTTTTTTTTTAATTTAAATTAAAAAAATAATTACGTGTGTTTATTTGGAGTAAAACCAGGGCCAAAATGAAACAAAACCATGAAGAGGAAAAGTTAGGAAAAGGGAATAAATGGAGTCCAAGTTTATTCCAGGCATACATTCAACCAAAAGCAACCTTAGATGATTGAGGCTTACTGCGGAATGTCCTTTAATTATCTACTGTATGTTCTCATAAAGACAGAAACAGATATAGCTTGGTTTAAATATAAACAAGTTGCAGTAGCTCTCAGAATATTCTCTTTTCCATTGATTGAGAGAACTGTGGTTCATTTAACACACATTTTGAAATGGAACATGACGAGACACTGATAGTCTGAGGGGGTATGTAAAGCTGAGACACATGAATAACATCTCAGCGTAGGTTCACCAGATAATCCATGTCAGGAGAGACTCTGAGTTACTCCTGTTTTACAAACTACTTTAAAACTGAAAAACTCCTGTGCTTGGCAAAATAGTTCAGTTCTTCTTGTGCTCTGACAGGTTTGTTTCCTTGATTGAAAGACTCATCCAGCTGTTTCACTTCAACTTTAGTGACACGTGCATGATTTCAGGAGACTGACCAATCAGCACACAGCAAAAACTCGGTGCTGAAGTGAAATCCAGGACTTTTTAAAATTGAAATGGTAATTTACAAATCCTGTCCTAACTCAAAGTGCCCTCCCTGACATGGATTATCTGGTTACCCTTAACTCTATAGCAGGGGTGGGATGACCTCTCAATCAGCCAATAACAGAGAGTCCCCAGGTGTGGAGCTGATAACCGCTGCTTTATTATTGGCTGATTGAGAGGCCATCCCAAAAACCAGCACCGGCCCTCCATGGATCAGGATCCCCACCCTGCTCTACAGTAAGGGCTTGTGCTTGTAGGTTTCTGGCTACACCACCCTCCCTAAGAGAGCAGGGCGATCTGGACTAAATGCCACATGCCACCATAATCCACTCACTCAATGTGATCACTAGAAAATTAGGAGAAACTTGCCTGGTGCATACAGACCTGATAGAACTGTAACCTATTTCAGACGTGTGTAACTTCACTCCTATATGCTTTCATTAAACGGAAAAGGTCATGCGCTCAGGGTGTGTGTGTGTGTGTGTGTGTGTGTTACAAACAGGGCCTGCCGCAATTAAACAGCTTGGGAAAGCAAAGAATAACAGGGGCTGTGTGGCGGAAACAAAGGGGACAAGCATCAGGCAGGAGAATCCCGGCCCCCGGGGGCCGCGGTCTGTACACTACATGGCTGCGGGGGGTGGGGGCTCAGCCTTTTCTGGCTTCCGGTGCTGCTACTATAAAAACATTCCTACTATTAGGCAAAGGCGGAGGAATGTGAAGTACATGTTCATACCATTTCATATGTTTATGTTTAATCATTAAGTTAATGATAGTTTAAAATGTGATTTTACAAAATGTATGCAAACAAGCAAAAAAGAAAAAAATAACAGTTGATTTTAGAGCTTTGCCCATTTTTATGCATAATATGAAAAACACCCTTTGCAACATGTGAAGAACTTGAGTTTATGAAAATGCATTTGTGCAAAACGCATAAAAATTCCTATGAAAATATCCATTTTGGGCTGAAATGCAAAGCCAGAGGATAAATGTTTTCCCAATTCGGAATGTGCTATTTCATGACAAATTAAGCCAAAACAGAAATTCCTAGAAAATTATCCATGGTGCCACAGGGCTAATAAAACTGGTGGCATTGTGGAGCATTTTACCCACAATCCTCTGGGGCGAGGGAGTCTGTGATGCCATTCGCAGTGCTCCTACTGGACAACCGTTCACCCTCCCGTTTCAGTCTAGTTATGTCTGGCCAAAGTAGACCCCCATCTTTGCATAAATCTCCTTGAGCACAAGCAGAGTGGTGTCTTCCGATTCCCTGCAACGAAAGAGCGAAAATGCATCTCAGCTGAAAATGCTCCCATCCGTTCACTTTCCTTAACCTCCGATCCAGGACAAGGTCTCAGTGAAGCTGCAGCTTCTTCCAGAAGCACAGGACACCCTGGATGGGATGTTTGTCCATCACAGGAAGCAAAACGCTCATAAAGACAACTTGGAGAAGGAAACTGGAATAGCCAGAGGAAGCCTACATAAGCACAGGGATGACATGACATGACATGACATGACATGACATGACATGACATGACATGACATGACATGACATGACATGACATGACAGACGGATTCAAATCCCAATATAAGACATGTGACATTCCAGTGCTGCCCACTGAGCTACTTGCACCATGTTACCACCTTGATGGTCAAAGAGACAAAATGCTTATGTTGGTCTTTAACTATGTCTCAGTTGTGATGGATACCAGCTGGATTTATGCTGAGCAAAAGACACACAAAACTGAGGTCCTACTCAGTGCTGAGGAAGTAGTAATGTTTGGGAAAGGCAGCCTGTGAAAGTCGTGTGTCCAGAACACTTTAGGTCCCCATTCTCACCAGTAGCAGAGATGGCTCTGAAGGGCGAACAGGTACTCGTTGAAGCTCTCGATGGGTTTCTCCTGAAGCACATAGTCGATGCGCCGCCCGCCATTCAGCATGCCCACGTTGATGTCGCAGCCCCTTTCCCAGGAGCCGGCAGACACGGCGGCGCTTGGGCCGTTTCCGGAGTGACCTGCGGCACATGACGGGCTGGGGGTGGGGGCTTCGGAGAATGGAAGGGGAGCGTGTGGATTGGAAACATTTCAGAAGACTGCAGACTGGAAGGAACTAGCATGGATCTGCGAGAGCGAATACCGAGATCGCAATGTTCATCAAGAGACAGCGACCATGAGACACGGCAAGCCTGTCAGGACCACAGAAAGCAGAAACAAACAACTCCTCAGACAGTCCCTGCAGTCAAATGAAAGCTGCATAAAAAAACAAAAACAAAAAAACACACAACTGATCTACAATTTACCTTTAAAACCCATTCACTTACGTATTTTATGTGATCAATGTGATCAATCCATCACTGGAACATTAATGTCACAGCACAGAGTACTTACCTGTGAACGCACATATTTTTTCTGCACTTTTATCTTCGCAGTTTTCATACCCAGACAGAAATAAAGAAATTAAACCTCCACACTTCTATTCACCCTCTTTTGTTTCACTGCTACCCAGAACATTCGAAAAACCAGACAATTAAGGGTATCCACGTAACGGACAGCGGACAGGTCAGAACAATTTTTCTTTCAGTGTGTACAAGTCACATCCAGTAATATAAGTTCTGTTTATATTGTTTGCTTTTATTTAGTTTTATTCATTTTTCTTTTATACAACGTTATTCAGTGATTCACAGTTCTGGCAGTGTCATTTCACAATTGCTTTGGCAATTTTGTGAAGTATTTCCAAACATCATCTCCTTCAGTAATCGACAGAGAAGGATTAACTTCATCAGCCATGTCTCCATATATGGCTTTAAAGGCAGTGGTTTCAAAGAAGCTGGAACCAATCCTCCGACTTATATTTAGCACAGTTATTTTTACACCTAAATATGTCTGTTAGATTCCGTTCTCAAGGAAGCCCAGCGATGTTTAGAAAATTCTGGAAAAGGCCAAGTTCTCACCATTTGTGTTCTCTAGGGTGTGATGCATTGCAGTTCTGATTTCCTCCACTGGGGGCAGAGCAGGGACAGGTCCCCCTGAGAGGACCTGCCAGACAGTGCGCAGAGACCCCAGCAGGTCAGAACTCATCCGTGTCAGGTTCTCCCGCAGCTCTGGTGAAGCAAACCCGGTATGAGGTCATGTTGTGCCGCCGCCCCACCCCCACCCTGCACGGTGTGATGTCGTTCCGAGCGCGCTCACCAATATGCATCCTCTTCCTGCCTTTGTGATGTGGAATGAGCATCGGTTCGACCTCGACATCACGACCCAAGATCATGGGCTCAATCCTGTATGCCACGGGGTCAAACTGCACCGGGGAGGGTGGAACAAGATCTCAAATTAATGGATACAAAACTGTACACTAGGACTGCTGACCTCTGCATATAGTTTACAGCCCATCTATTAAGGGATTACATCATGGATCGCCATCCATCCATCCATCCATCCATCCATCCAAACTACTTATCCAGCAATGGGTCATACAAAGGAGATCACTTTTTCCCTCCAAAATATAGAAACTTCTCATTATTTATATAGAAGTGGCTTGTTTTAAAAACTTTTTCATAGAAATAAGTTCATTGCTACCTGATGAGGGTCTTGAAACAAAACAAACTGGCAGCACACAGGAGAAACCTTATAGCTGGAACACTGCAAATAAACTACACAAGTGTCCTGATAGGCCAGCTAAGCAGCCACCATGGACGAAGAGGCATACTGGGTGGTAGATGTTGTAGAAGCTTCCACAAGTGGGGAATTTATAGCTGGGGTCGATGTGCTTGAGTCCCCTCACTGTGAGAAACATCCCAATGGGAGAGCCCAATGCAAAGAAGTTCTCTGGCTCAAAGTTCAGCCTGGGGTAGCACACCAGCACCTGTAGGACGAGCTCTGTTATACACACCTATAAGCACTGGGACTCATAACTAGATGGTTATTGGTTCAAGTCCTGATCTTAGCAACTTAAAGGAAAACGAGCACTGACATTGATACACATGCATACAGCTCTTCACCTGCCCAATCCCAACGTTCAGGTACTTGTAGTTCACAGGGTTGGTGGTGGAGAGGACCTGAGGGATGGTTGCGTGCACAGAGGCTCCTGCGGTGCCACTGCGGGAGGCCACTGCTTCTGTTACTCCGCGGTCCTGCAGCTGGGCCCCGGCCCTGAGCATCTGCGGAGGGGTGGGGAGCCAGAACGCGGAGGAGCTACAAACAGTGGCCCAAACAATGGGCCTTTCAGAAGGCTTCCTATGGCCTCATCTGGGGAGGCAGGACAATGCACAATGAAGCCTAATTTTTCACCCCGGGTGCCAAGAGAGTCCCTGCAATCCATTTAGCTCAGCCGTGTAATATTTGCGGGAGGCAGCCGCGTGTGGGCGGCATATGGGGGAGTGGAAATGCTTTGTGTCTGACCTCTGCTATGGTCTTCTTTTTGATTGCGTTCAGGATCTTCTTGCATGGTCCGAGAGGGACTCCCAGGGCCTGCAGGTCGCTCTCGGAACACAGGGCCTACCTCAGCGACAAAAGCGTTTGAACCAATAGGCAGCGACACATCCTTCACGAGCGCACAGTCACATGACACATATGGCTACACCCACCAGTGACTCGAGGTCCATTTGATGCCTCTGAAAGAGGCTGGCATACTCCTCTAATCCAGAATTCTTCAGCAGCTCCTCCAGACTTTTGGTGTCTGGAAGGTCAGAATCATTGTTGCTTTCTGTCTGGAGCAGAAAGAGACACAGGAATGCAGTCCGCAAAGAAAAGGACTAGAATTGACCACTAGGCAGCATAATTCAAGGGCCAGAAACAAACACTGCGTCATTAACATTCTGACTCGTTTATTTCCTATCCAAAGTAAATTTTCCAGATACATTCAGTAGAACAAAGCTGATATGGTTCTACTATCTAACACTAGAGGGCGGCATAACACATACATCCCGGTTACGTTTCCATTGCTTTAGCTTTCACGATCATGATCTTATTTTTCCATATCAGTTCTTACAACTTAAACTACATGTTATGTGACTAATACTTTTACGTAAACATTGCAACTGTTTTTTGTCCATTACAATCAGAAAAAAAAAATCTGAAAACTTTAGTCTAGAAATATTTTAAATTGAGATTTCTATTTTTTTAAAGGCGCGCACAATTCATAACAGTTACTTCTCTGGCAGAGTGGGACCCTGCAGTCAACTAATTCATAGGCAAATGAAAAAGGTAATGGAAGACCAACCTGTGAACCAGAAGAGCTCCAAGGATTTGGTTGCTGATTGGTCAGGATGTCAAACAGTATCAGGGAACCTAAACACATCCAGTGCACATTCACATTAAAAGTCCTGCAGCTATTAAAATATACACTATATGGACAAAAGTATTGGGGCACTTGGCCATTACACCCACAGCAACTTTTATGACATCCCACTCTAAATCCACAGGCATCAATATGGAGTTGGTCCCCCCTTTGCAGAAATAACAGTTGCCACTCTTCTGGGAAGGCTTTCCAGAACATTATGGAGTGTATCTGTGGGAATTCTTGACCAGTCATCCAGAAGAGCATTTTTGGGGTCAGGCACTGATGTTGGACAAGAAGGCCTGGCTCACAATCTCCGCTCTAATTCATCCCAAAGTTGTTCTATCAGGTTGAGGTCAGGGCTCTGTGCAGGCCAGTCAAGTTCCTCCCCACCAGACTCGCTCATCCATGTCCTTATGGACCTTGGTTGGAACAGGAAGGGGCCATCCCCAAACTGTTCCCACAAAGTTGGGAGAATGAAATTGTCCAAAATGGCTTCGAATGCTGCAGCATTATGAGTTCCTTTCACTGGATCTAAGGGGCCAAGCCCAACCCCTGAAAAACAAACCCACACCATAATCCCCCCTCCAGCAATCTTTACACTTGGCACAATGCAGTCAAGAAAGTAACGTTCTCCTGGCAACCGCCAAAATTAGACTCATCCATCGGACTGCCAGACAGAGAAGTGTGATTCGTCACTCCAGAGAACACGTCTCCACTGCTCTAGAGTCCAGTGGCAGTGTGCTTTACACCACTGCATCCGACACTTGGCATCTTGCTTGGTGATGTGAGGCTTGCATGCAGCTTCACAGAATTCCCATGATGCTCCCCGCACACAGTGTTTGTGTTGGGGTTAATGCCAGAGGAAGACTGGAGCTCTGCAGTTACGGAGTCAGCGTGTCGGCAACTTTTACACACCAAACGCGATCAGCACTCAGCCACCCCACTCTGTTATTTTCTGCTTGCGCTTTGCAGCAAAACCACTTACGGTTGACTGTGGAATATCTAGCAGGGAAGAAATTTCACAAACTGACGCACTGCAAAGGTGGCATCCTATCACAGTACCACACTTGAATTCACTGAGCTCTTCAGAACAGGTCATTCCTTCACAGATGTTTGTACACCTGACTGCATGGCTAGATTTTATACACCAGTAGTAATGAGCCTGATCGAAACACCTAAATTCGATGATTAATACGTGTGTCCCAATACTTTTGTCCTTACAGTATTTGTCAAAATGGCCATTCTTTTAATTTGAAAATACAAGTGTGGCATTTTAGGTTTTAATCCACCATTTACACGGCTGCAGTATCACGGCTTTATGGTAGGGGGCGCTCACCAAGGCTGTGCCCCAACACCGACACATGGCCAGCAAAGTCTGGGTGCCGCTGCTGGAAGAGGTGGTACAGGCGGTTGAGCTCAGTGGCCACTGTGTCCACGATAGTCTGGCAGTAGGTGGGGCTGTTGTAGAAGAAGATGTCCAGGAGAGTCTCGTTTGTGAAGTTCCTCAGGCGGCTGATGCTTGGCAATGTGATTCGCTGGATGTCCCTGATGGAGGGGGAGGGGGCATAAAATCAGACTTTTAGCCCTTTAATCACTGGACTGCTCTAGGTTAACCTGAAAACCAGGGACTCATGGGATAGCTAACATTAACCAATAAACAGCCACGTTGTGTTCAGTTCCTGATCCAAAGCCATTTCAAACACTGAGCTCCTTGAATTTCATTCCTGACACATTTCACCTCTGCTTCAGGTGCATCAGCCTGACACACACTTCCATCCTCCTCCAAAGAGAGTGTGGCCCTTACTCATCCACCCCAGTGGCATCTCCATGCAGGGCGCCATGCCAGTTAACCGGGAGGAACTCCACACGGCCCACAGCCCCCCTGGACAGCGACTGCCTGAAGTGGCTGCCCAGCAGCCGAAGGGAGGTTCCCCGGAAATCATTCACTGCGGGGAGGCAGAGGCTCAGTCATCTGACCCCAAACAAACCTCCAGAAAATTCCAGTCATTATAACAGCAACATTAAATTTTCCTTCTCCTGGTAAAGGTTGGGGTGGCGAGTAGGTCAGACCTAATATCTGCAGCAATTCAAGTTAGGTGCTTTTATACAATAGTGTTACAAAGTTAAGTGTAGTAAATAGTTTAGTAAAGTTAAGTTGAAGGTGAACAGTGAAAGGTCGGGATCACTCACCACACTGCACAAGGCTGCGGAAGCGCAAGTCACAGGCTGGCCCGATGCCGTGCACCATGAACACCAGATGGTCCACCATCACGGACTCTCCTGAATCAAATACTAAATATTAGTTGGAGCGGCAGAAGGTCACACATAATGCAAGGCTCCCTAATACCTGCAGGGCTGGGGGTTTGAATCCCACCTCTGCTCCGTCCGCCTGTGCGGACTTTGCACGTTCTAAATATCCTGCACAGGTTTCCTCTGGCTAATTTCTAGTTTCCTTCCTCATTCCAAAGATATACAGGTTAAATGGCACCTCTAAGCTGCCTGCAGTGCATGGCTGTGTGGGTTTGTTGAGGAAACTCATCCAGGCTGTAACTTTGCCCTGTGCCCTGTGCCGTTGGGGCTGGGCTCAAGGCTCCAGGCCTGCCAAGATGGAGGGAGGCACTAAATAAGAAAAATACTGGCCTCCAGTGACCCCAGCCTGGCACACAACCCATGCAAACTCGGTTTTTACCTTCTGGGATGTCAACTGCAATGCTGTCCACCCCCCTCTTGATGGCGCTGGACTTTGCTGTGTGCTCCGGCAGGGGAGGGGGCCAGTCCCCAGCATGACCGGCCACGGGTCGGTGTTGCGTTATTAGCTGAACGAGAGAGGAAGACGCATCAACCTCACATAGACGGCGCCACTGGACCCAGGCGTGTTGTGGGAAGATACACTACAGCCAGACGTTTCTATGAACTTTCACAAACGAATCGCCAGCCAAATGTAGAAAATGAGTGAGGAGAGAATGAGGGTTTGAACGAAGAAAAATTTATTTCAAATACTCAATTAACCTTTGGCAATAGCCAAACCCTGGCTTTTGAGAAATATCTAAGCATTTTACACCACAACCTTTCACAAGGCATAACACAATCAACGCCGTTATGGTCAGCTGAGAAGGATGATGGTAGACAGTGATCCTGGAGTTACCTGTGGGCTGTGGAAGACGACCACTTCTTCGGTGGATAACTTCAGCGTTCTCTTCCACTCGCCCAGTGTGTATGCGATCATGTAGGCCTCCTGAGGAAGCCAGTGCACACTTTATGAGTCTCGTAGTATTTTTCCATGAATTCTAGGTCAATCAGCCTACTTATGGAAAGCAGCCTATATTTACAGCATGCATGACCGGTGACGCTTGTAGGTAAGTAAACGAGCGTCGGCTGAGCGGCTGTAAGGGGGAAAGCTCTCGCCTCCAGGCTCTCGCTGACTTCCTCGGGGTAGGGCAGGTAGCGGCCGTCCTTCGACCCTCGGTAGAACCAGGTACAACGGCGCACTTCAGAGGGTGTCTCGTCCCAGAACACGGTGTGGCGCCGCCTCCCGCCAAGATCCACGTCGCAGCGCCCCCCATCTGTGGCCACCAGCACACCCTCTTCCTGCTTATCACCTGACAAGGGAAGAATCACATATTAACTTTGCCTGTATAATGACAGACCACACACACCATGTGTCTATTCAACATGGGGTTTAAAAACTCAGATAGAGTCTGTGCTGAATTTCAATTTAATTATTTCTCCTGGGCCCAGTAGGTCCATTTAACAGTTATCCATCTGTGGTATTCATACCAATGATTTTCCCCAAAACACTCATCCATCCATCCATCCATCAACCACTTATTCAGTATATGACAATGGTCTCAAACCACTAATGGTGCATGAGCTTCCTCTAGTGGAACACAAATGTATCTCCTTTTATGACATTGGTCATAATGATAATAAGAGGAGAGCCTAATATTTTATGAGATATTATGCAGTATAAGGTATACATTTTGTGAACCACTGTTATGAGGTAATGGTGAGCTTAGGGCATATCCCAGGAAGCACAGGGCAGGGGGACACCATGGATAGGATACCAGTATATCACAGGGAACAGGATGGGCGATTTAGATCCACCAATTCACCACATATGGAAAAACCAGGAGTACCTGCAGGACAAACTCAGAGAGCGCATGCAGACATACACAGAGTCAGGGGCAGGAATCTGACCTCCAACCCCAACAAACAGTTGCATGGCCCTTCGGAGAGGTCACTGTATCTACCCCACATACTTATGTTAAACACTAAACTTATTATCAGAAACATTAAACTGACAATCGACTAACTGACTAGTCAATAAGAACAGCAGGAGAGGAACTGTACCCCTCCGTGAACTGAACTTAGAAATCCCTGCCCCAGCAGCACCTTCCACGCACTCCATCCCAGTAAAACCCTGTAGGATGATCACCTGCGGTTCAACCAAAGTCAGAAAAATAGTAATGGGCAACGTGGCGTATGACCACACTTAGCACAGTCACTGTCACGCATCTTCTCTCTCTCTAGCCTTATGTTAGCGTAGCATTCCATATTTGACAGAAGCAATGGAAATGTTGCAGCAAGAGTCATACGATATCCAAGTCACAAGCTTATTTTGGTTTATAGTTGCTAGAAAAGGAACTCAAACTTGGTGTTTCTATGTTGGCTTAAATTTTGAGTAGGTCAATATATTATCCTCTGATTCTTCAAAAAGCTACACACCACACTTTAAGGCCTGCTCCAAATTCCGCGAGTCCACCTTGCTGAACGGCAGCCAGATGTCCTTGTCCTCTTCCTGTTGATAGTAGAACCAGTGGGGCTGCACCGGCTCATAGGGAGGCAAGACATCGTCCATGTCCACCAACTCAAAGGCATCTGACAATGACCACGCTGCCTCATACACAGCGCCATCTGCCTGCAGTTAGGAGAAACAAGAAGGTTAATGCACACTCGGTTATACATATATTACATACAGAAGTAAAATTTTATTTTCAGCTGACTATGGTGCTTGCAAGTACACCAGAAATATGCACCAATCAGATGGCTTTCACCAGGCCGAGAATGATTGGCTGTCCAGCTGAAAGCTATCCCAGAGTTTCTTGTTTAGGCAGAAGGTGTTCCTCGGACGGGAACACTTCAATAATTACAGGGACACACATGACGCAATTAGGAGCCACGCAGTAGGACTCCCTTTGGCAGGGTGAACCCGATCCCGAATGAACCCATCTGAAATGCATGCGACTAAATCCTGAAATATTCACAAGACATTTAACAGAAAAGGACTCGTGTAGGAGTGCAGGCTGATCATGTTCCCACTGCGTGCCTTACGTTAGAAAGACTCACGCTCTACTACAGAGGGAACCATAAGCCACCAGAGAAAATAGCTTTCATAACAACATCGTAGCAGATCAGCGTATTCTGCTGCTGCACTGCATGTATGTCTGGAGTTTAACCTGACATCAGAGAAGTGGAGGCATGTTGCTTGAAAGGCCAGACCGATTCATTTATTCAGCGCTGCAGAACACCTCAGCAAAAACTGCCTGAAGGTTAGCAATCCCCACAGCTCTGCAGACCGATAAGAGAGAGGGCGTGATACAACCTGACTCCGCCCCATTATAGAACTACACTTCCATCAGCAGGCAATGCATAACCAACATTTCAGTGCTGGCAACCTAAAAATTTAAAACAATGCAGCAGTACTTAGTCCTCCTGAGGCAACAAACAGCAGACATTTGGTTAAGACGCCCCACAAAATATATCAATGTCCGATTTCACCCACCGCAATGTGACTATTGCATCAGAGCGATCTGCTGACACATAGTGATGATGCTACCATCCCGAGCCCAAGAGCTCGATGAATTCTTCAAAAAGTTGTGCGTTATTCCTTTTTGCTTTCAAAAGTAAAGTACGTCCTCATCAGGGTAATGTACAAAGCTTATGTGGATCAACACACACACACACACTCAAACCTGTAAAACTTCAATTAAAAGTAAATGTGTAACTGTTACAGCAAACAGTTCAAGCATGACACAATCAAAAGATATGAGCACAGAGATAAATTAAAACAAGGTTTACATAGACATCCCACTGATAAATGATCTTGAACAAAGGTTTGGGGTGTGAATGCATTATTTTAAGTCACAGAGTGGTCAGTGCCAACAGAAGACAAGGGCAGGGGGGGGGGGCATTCCACAGGGTGGGAGACACGACCCACTGTTACTCCATGTTAATGTTATTCCTTGGCAGGCAGACGGCACACACCCATCCAGCAACGCTCTTACTCAACAGATACATATCGAAGCTATGACACAACAACAAGCTATGACAAACAAGGTAAAGGTTAAAAGCACCATGTGCAATAAACTAACTGCCACATGACTGTTATACAAGTCACCAAATATTATATGGAAGCACACAATTATTTTCAAGTATATCAGATTTTAAAAAGTACATAAAATACATGCAATTATCAGTTATTTGAAAATATATAGATATTAAGGTTGGAAATGTGGTACGTCGCTACTACACAACTCATGATTTCAGTGATGTTTTAATCGCCTGATGTGACAGGTGTAATTTTGGACATGGCTATGCGGCCCCTGAAAGAAGAGACGGGCAGTGAGTGTCGGGTTACCGGCCGATCGAACAGCTTGTACACTCGCCTGGGCGCTGAGCAGGGCTGGATCCCGCATGGCCGCTCCAGGAAGAGACAGCGGCAGCCCCGCACCGGCCGGCCGCCCCTGAGACATCAGCCGGTCCGGATGAAGGAGAGATCCGCTGAGGCTTGGCGCTTTCCTCACCCCTAAGACCGCGGACCAAAGGAACCGTGAACACACTAAATAAGAGAAAACATGACGGAAAATGTAAATTATAGGCCTACCTCGAATTACTTTTACACACACCCAGACGTACTTGTTCACAACCTATTACAAATGTGACATCTTCTTAAATGGGGATATTGGTTATAATTTAAATTGAGCCGTGTGTGTGTGTTTTGTTTGTTTGTTTTTTTTCCATTTGAATTTAAATAAATTACAGATGAAATTACGGGAAGCAGGGAATTAATCGTAAACACAGCAATTTAGTAATTCATCGCTTAACTTAGTATCAATACGCGACGTATATACACACACAGAGAGTGATAATTAAGTCATTTCACATTATAAATTCCCTAACGGAACAGCTCGGATACTGCGAAATACTACATACCTATATCACCCCATTTGTCATTATCTAGCAGCCAGCTATTAGTAAGCTAGTAGTATTTCTATCACTATAATAACAGGCATGTCAAACCTCCTCTCCAATCTTAACGCTGGATGTCGGCTGCCGTCACAACAGATCCGACCGGCTGGAAAGACGCGAAGTGCCGGTACAGCTGGATCGACTCGGCTCGGCTCCGCCCGACGTGCCTGCAGACCAAGCCGGAGATGCGCTGTAATGCTCTGCAGGGGCCGCCGATGATGATGATGGTCCCCGCAGCTTTCGCCCTGCTGAGACACCATCACGGGTTTTCAGCTTGTCCTCCGATATGACACGTTTACGTAACCAGCCAGGGGTTTAAAGGTCAATGGTCATTGTGAAATAAGAAGCCGCGCAATGTTACTTTTTATATTATTCTCTTAAACTGAAGGAAAATATTAGTCTCCTTATCTGGATATTAGGGTTATTCCCAAGACCTTTCTTTAGTAAGCTATTCATTGTTTGGGTTTCTGTAATGAATGCCTGCAGTTACTAATTACCAGTAATAAACACTATAGGCTACGCCAAGGCAACATCAAATTAGACTCTGCAGCAACGCATTATAAGTTATTTTATAATCATAATATTAGGAACTACGCATAACATGAAATAAGCGCGTGATCCGAGGTGCCTTTATTATATCCGAGGGTTTCTGGTGATTATAGTGACACAGATAGTCCCAACAGCAAATGTGTTTCGCTCATGCTTGTTAAATCTAAAGTAAACATTAAATTGGTGTTATTTGGTTAATGGTAACTTCCGTAGCCTTAGATAATGAAATACCACTAGACCCCTGTTACTTGAAGGGGTGCAACATCAATCCAATCAAATTCGGTAATTAAAGCGCCCTGCAGGGTCTCGATATTCTACAAAAATCCTGGATCTGTATATATCTCTCAATAATAAAAGATTAATAAGAATTTTAAGAATGTAATAATGTGTTTGTAGGTCATTCCAACCTAGGGTTGCCACTTCCAGTCTGAAGAAATACTAAACATCCCTCACGGCGGTAAAATACGCCGACTAGGGGGCAGAATAAAAATGGGGGGGCGGGGGGCAAATCGCGTCCCGCATTAGTTCAAAACAAGACACGGCATTTTATTTTTTAATACTGGGCGATCCGGTGATGGCCACGCTATTCCAACCTTAAAATGAAACGGTCTTTCTCTATACCAGCAGATGCTGATTTCAATTGGCCTATATGAAATTGATGAATTAGGAAATAGTCTATGTAGGAAAACGTCCTACGTTTTAATACAGGAGTATTCGAATTAATAAAACGTGACCATGACTAAAAAACGTGTGTATGTTTATGACGGGGCTCTGCAGTTCCTCATTTTTTGACAGGTCTAGAGGTTAGACCAATGTTTTTCAACCTTAGGGTCGTGACCTCACGTGGGTTCGCCTGGAATTCAAATGGGGTCCCCTGAAATTTCTAGTAATTGATTAAAAAGTACTGATAAATATTTTTTTAGCTAATTATTCTTTTAAACATGATTAAAACACCACATACAATCGTAAACAACTGTATTCTTTCACGTTCATAAATATCAATAAATATGAGTTCAAATAAAATGATTGTGATCACCTTCAGCCTTGTAAAGACAAGCTCGCCTAACTGTACATGTGATCAGAGAAAATAAAATGTGATTTTGTGCACTAATCTGGCTACTCTGTATTTGCGACATATAACAAACATGATCAAAAACTAATTCTAGAAAAATAAATGTCTATGGTGGGGTGGCAAGAAATTTGTGATGTCAAAATGGGGTCACAGGCCAAAAAAGGTTGGGAACCACTGGGTTAGACCGATGTGTGTATGAGCCGAAGTCAGCCAGCTCTCACTCCTCATGCGGTGGCCGCAGGAGGTCTTGCTACTCTTCATAAGTCCCACACCTCACAGTTTACAAACTAAGCACTCAAAATCTCTGTGATTGTATAGCATCCATTTACCTTGGGAAGTGGCAGTGACTGGGGGCTGGGAATGCATGTGTAGAAGGTTCTACTGAATAAGAATAGATCAGAGCAACTCATCAAAAAAAAAAAATAAGTAATAATCTGAAAATATGAAGATCGTTTTTGGGACAGTGAATTTTAGCTAATTCTAATCTGTATGAACTGAACTTTGAGCTAGATCTTAAGGACTGGTTGTAGTGCTGGCAGGACTTTATTTTTACTGTGAGTACAGCAGCCTGCTTTTCCAATTCATATAACCACATATAATTATGCGTGAACTCACAGGTATAAGAACAAGCCAGTGAGCTACTCCTTTGGATATCGTGTTAGAGTGCTGGCTGTTCTCTTTAAACCTGCCTAACCATCCCACACGTTATCCTCTAGGCATGGCATATAATCAAAGGCAATGCAGATCACATTACTGAAGAGTGGGTTTTATTTGTTAGTATCCCATAGTCACAGACTACACTTAACGAAAGAGCAGAAGTCTTACTTGTTCAGAGTAGTCAACCATGTAAAAAGTAAAACCTTAGTTATACCTGCACACACTGGATAACTGAAGAGGAGATGTGTCCAAAGACCTGTACGGCATTCGCATATTACCAGATTAAACTATTTTTTACATGTTCCAGATAAACAGCTGAAGTCCATTAAAAAGAATCGTATATTGATATGATCATTTACAATTTAAAATTAAGCACTTTGCAAACATTCCATTAAGACCAAAAATCCTAATTCCAACATTTTTGTAAAAAGCAGGTATTCTCCAAATACTTGGCACTGCAAATAATCCAAATCCATTTGATAAGCAGTTTTACATGCAGTAAAATTAAATATATTAAGCAATTAATGGTCTAAAAATAGACCAAAGGAAGTTGGATACCCTTTCAAAGAACCACTCCACTCTGGTCTTCAGGAACAATACAAAATCTCCAGACCTTTTGAGTGAAGCTCCACAATCATACTACTCATTGAGAAGAGGCACAGCACAAGGATCTGTCAGTGGTCCTGGTCAGTGGTACCACAGTCTCCCCATCAATGCCGTTTCCTCTGCCGGTGCTTCGCGCGGCCAGTTGTACGATGTCTCTGCGGCTCATCCAAAGGAACAGGTGGAAAAGGTCCGCTAGGTCCCGACCACGAATAGCGGGGCAGCACTGGGTACGGAAATGGGCTATATGGGTGTAACGGTGGCCCTCTCCTCCAATGTGGCTCGAAGCGGAGGAGTTCTGTAGTTGGCATCGGGAATAGTGGACCTGGCGGCAGAACGGGCAAAAGGGGACTGCTGGGGGCCCACAGCCTAGGAGTCTGCTGGGGGAGCCTAGTTAGCAAAGAGGAAAAAGATGATTAAAATAAAATGGAGGGGGACAAGGGGTCAGGTCCCAAAGCAATACTACTGTATATTCAAAATTGTGCAATGCAAGGTCACAGGACATTACACAGGACTACAGCTTAGAAGACATGGAACATTACGGTACAGATTGCAAATTATGGTGGACAAGAGGCCATATTGTGTAGCAGCCATGGTGGGGATCCATGGCAAATGCTGCTCCCCCATTGTACCTTGGGGGGCAGGTTTGGGGTGAACGTGCTCTCCATAGGTTTGCTTTTCCCTGGACAGGCTCCTGCTCCGGGTCTTCCATACCCTGGTTACTAGAGAAGAGGAAGGAAAGTGGATTCCCATGTGATCCCTCCTTGTGCGTATATTACACAGTGCTCCAAGTTCCGGAACATGCACCAAAGCAAAGGAAGATCCATTCATTTGACAAAAATGAACAGCACTAAGAGGCATAACCAAATGTACCACATCCTAACTGCAAGACATGTAATACTGACCTGCAACCTTAAGATTCAGGGCCATACTTTTAAGCATCATAGGTCGCCATCCCCATAAGACATTTACTTGACAGCAGTCTCATCTCACACAACTGGGCGGCGCCACTCAGCTGCTGGACAGGATGGTGTAATTCTGCCTGGACGGCCGCACTTACCTTCTTTTCGGCCCACAACGCAGGTCCTGGAGGTAATTCTCCCGCTCTATGGAGTGGCCCCTGCACCTATTGAACACTGGAGAAAACACAAAACAAGGCGACTCTCAGTCAAGAAGCAGAGTGGAGTCCAGGAACGCCGTTTTTAATCTTAAAAAGCTAAACACTTACATTCTATAGCTTTGCCCGGGTCCATCCCATCAACGTCAATGAGGTACCTACAGTATTTTTGATCACAGTCAAACAGGGAATATACTGGACCAAATTTTCAAACTCCTAGAGACCATACAAACCACTGAAAAACCAAAATCACCATTATCCTCTCAAACAAAACATTTAATAAGCAATATTAAATAGTAATAGAGAACACAGGGTTTAGTTCATTATGATTGTTATGATGCAGTCTTTGGAATTTATTTTACTATGTTGGCCCAAATATTAGACAACCCCGATTAAAAGGACTAACAATACGTATTGTGGCGAGTGGTCATTTTAATAAAAGATGACAGCTCTCTTAACAGGCAACTGTTCCTAATGGGGTTTGCAGTTTTAATAATAAACAATTTCAAAACAAATTGTTTAGCTGCTGTACTGAATTTGCACAGAACCATGAACTCAGGCACGCTGTGGTAGTCCTATCATGACAATGCCGTAGGGGACGGTTGAGACAATTTAATAATTTAAATACAACGGACTACTTATTGGGAAGGGGGTGAATGAATCTAAATTAAATGTTAGTGTTACCTCCTCCGTTCATAAGCCCGTGTCTAGGTGTTTGTTTACTTTAAATAATCCAATAACATGCTTATTCGTTTATTTTAGCACCATACCAGCCTTAACAAAACCGCACCATGTACAACTGGGCAAATATTAGAAGTAACGATTATGCCACCAACAATTACAATAACCTATGTTTAAACTGATATTTACATGGCGGTATATAACTCACTACCTTGAAAAATTGCGATGTTACAGAACCCCCCCCCCCATTTCCCCCCATATGTACGGCAATGACAGCAGTCAGTACCCACTGCTACAGAAGTACTGTTTCACTTAAGATAACAGGATCTTAAGTGAAATGCATCTCTACTCTAACAGCTGTATAACATACCGCCTGACCATAAACTCACTAAACAGACTCTCAGACTAGATTATAGGACAGTGCTTGGTTTAAAATCAGTTAAAAAACCTGATTTTATACTACTCCAAAAGTGACCCAACAGGTTCTTTAATAACTAATTTACCTAATGTTGGGTCTTCATTTCAGGTTTCAAAAAATTACGATAATGTTTGTAAATCAGTATTTTGTGAATTTGATTTAACAACAAACTAGTGCCTTAAGTGTTAGAGAGATCTGGAATCAGGGTTCAATTCAGACCAGGGGTCTCCAACTCCGGTCCTGGAGAGCTACTATCCAGTAGGTTTTCTATCATACCCGGCTTCTGATAAGCCACACCTGTTCTCATTCTCAGGTAAATACCAGGAACAGGTGTGGCTCATCAGAAGCCAAGTCGGATAGAAAACATACTGGGATAGTAGCTCTCCAGGACCGGAGTTGGAGACGCCTGGTTTAGATAGATGTAACTTGAGCTGAGAAAAGTGTAGATACCTGCAGACCAGGTAACCCGTTCGGTTCAGTCCATGGGTACAGTGAACTCCGATCAACTTCTCTGGAGGACGAGGGGCACAAAAGGTAAAGTTGTTAACACCAAAGCACCGGAAGTACCATGAAAATCACATCAGCTAAAGGTGCCTGCCTACCATTGCCATCATTCTCCCGAAGAAAGGCTCGCACTGCTCGTTTGAAGTTCAGGATGACTGAGTCGCTTGGTACCTCATGTCCGGCGGTGTAGATCTTCAGGTACTGCACACTTGGGGGGAGGTCCTTCATGGTATAGAAGACAGGTACCAGGGTTAATGAAAAACTATAAGAAAACATTTTCAGAAAGTGAAACAAGAAAAAATAAAACTAAATGAAACCTAGACATACTGCTTACAAAACAAATATAAAATATTTTCCAGTTGTGGTGATAGAAATCATTTGAGGAAGCATAATCCAGTATATTGCCGCTTGATGACCAATAATACAGAGGGCATATCCATTTTGAGGACAGTAGCACATAATATCAATGTAGCACTCTCTAAAAATCAGACATAGCTCTACAACTTCCCAATAAAAGACAAATCCTAAAAAATAAAAATAATCTAATCTCATAAATTATCCAAACTACACAAATACACTCTTAAAATAAAAAGTAATAATAAACAAAGAAAACAGTAAAACTAAACTGGACTTTATGAAATGGATATTAGAGTAAAAAGTTTAAATGTTTATAGGACATGACAGACTCTAAAGTAAGCAAGAAATCTGACCTCACTAGGTGAAAATAACTGGAAGTATACAATTCACAGCTTAACATTTTTAGGTCTAAATCCAGTGGGTGGAGTTCCCCTTTTCCCTGATTAGTCCAGGACTTCATATTCCTCCAAGGTGACTAAACTGCCTCTAATGAAGTGGCAACGAACTGTCTAACAATATTGGCCCGACATCCAAGGCGTATCATACATTATATCCTCTGCTTCCCAGGACAAGCTTCAGCTCACCGCAAACCTAACCAGACTGACCCTGCTGTGTAACACAGGATTAATTCTGTGTAGGTTCCGTACAAAGGCAGAGTAATTATGTACAGAGTAACGCATCTTATTCTCTAAATCATGCTGCCTGTACCTGAGGCTTGTAGTATCGTGTGGTGAATGTAAGGTCAATGATGAGGCCCAGTTCCTGTTTGTCTTCTTCCAGCAGATGCAGCAGTTCTGAAGGCCCAAAGGCCTCAAAGGCAGGCAGGAGTCTTATTAGGGACTAGCAGGAAGAATCAACATGCTAGATTAATGCAAGCAATTAAACACAGATATAGTGTACACCAGCAGTTATAAGGGGTTAACTGTCGAAATTAGCACCCAGTACTCACATCATCTTTCCAAAGCCAACTATCATCTTTCATTATTAACAAATATCTGTGTCTTTCAGTATTCTCATTGATTTTCAGGGAAGAATTGAGGCTCACTGGCTTTTCCACTACACCACGCACTGACGTTTTGGTACTTGGTATGAGATACAAACTCCACATGCCACAGGGGAGATTTGAACATGAGCCCCAGAGGTAGGAGGGAACAGTGTTTAGCACTATGCCACCTAACTGGTCTCATACCTGTCATACTGGAGAATCCTATGCAAAAAAAATATCCTCTCCACTAGGCTTGGGTGATATGTAATTTGTCATATTGTCCATATATTATGCCAGTATTATACCACAGTACTTTGACTGAATGTTCAAAAGCAACCGTATTCTGTTATCTTGCTGTTACATTAGCACCCAAGCCTAGTCTCCATCCACATAGAAATACATTACAGTAATATGTATATTCTCACATGGGTTGTGTAATTATGGCCCCCATCACACATTTTATTTGCGATTCATATGTATATGATATTGAAAACAAAAAAGTTCACTGAAAATACATGGTAATTTCACTCATCTGCAAGTTGTTCTTCCCCCATAAAAACAGTCTAAAGTACAGTCTTTGTGGACTATTCATAAAATTAAAACTGAATTATCCGAAAAGCATTTGCTTGGTTTTTATTTATTTCTGTCTTTCTTGCCGAATCACCTGCTGAAGAGGAACCTTAAAGGCGATGAATCGTGTCCCAGGGATCCGTTTCCCCAGGGCCTGGTAGTCAGTCCACCTACAATTCAAAACAGACACACACGCTCCAGATTCACCCATTGGAAAATCACGGATAGTAAATAAGACGAAAGGAGGATTGATGCTCTCATGCCGACTGAGACATGCTGTTGATTTTTAGAGCTTGGATAAGGGATAAGTTCAAACGGGTTGTCCTCCTAACGCATTACAAATACGGTTGAATCTGCTTTACTTGCTCGTCTACGGTGCTTACCTGTCCGGAATACCCCTTTTCTTCTTGAAAGCCATTTCTATCCACACTTTTTAAAAATTCCAACCTGGACAGGACGATCTGTTTCCAGAAAGTGACTAAAGCAAAGTCGAAAGTAACTTGAAAGCGGCCTGGTGCTCCGGCCCAGCGAATCGCCCCCCGCTTCGGCTTTTCGACTACCACAGTAACCCCGTACCTGATAAGTCCGGATAGGTTTGGTCGGCCTTCGTCGTGACCCGGTAAGCGCGGGGAAGCCGGCGAGGCAATTTTAGGTGCACCGGCAAGACCGAAACGACACCCCGAGATGAACGCTGACCGGGTGCGTCGCCTCTTAATAGACTGGCTTCTGGTATTTTGGAGACATATCAAAATGCTTCACGTCTTGTGCTGCCCACATCCATAACTGCACTATCCGGTCACAAACGTAGACCGACTAATAACAGGCTACAAACTAAACGCTTACGAAGCCGGTAGGATTAGAGGGGGCGCGACCCGGAAGCGGAAGTAGCAATGATGGGAATGGGCAGAACCCCGGAAGTCGGAGCCGAGATGACGTCACACCCGAGTATTTATCTATTATTTTATTATTATTATTATTTAAAATATTATTATATATTTATTTATTATTTATTAGTATATCTAATACTTTCTAGCAGGTCGGAAAGCTGTTAAGCAATACCGGAGACCTGTTTCAAAAAGCAAAAAAAAAAATAATTTGTTACTTAGCTGGATAAAACTTTTAAGTTTAAAAGTCGCATTTAAGGGTACCCCAGTTTAAATGACCTTCATCATCGTTCACTTACATTTAGTCCAGACTACCTTAAATCCGACAAGTTATCCGGCTAAGCAAGAAATTCTGCATTCTGAAACAGTCCAGGGGGTATTCCATGAAAGTAGCTAAAAAAAAAAGGCAGACTTTCCCGAAAAAGTCTAACTCAACCTACCTCCATCTCTAACCTTAGCCTCACGTCGTTCCACGAACGCAGTTCAGTTTTAATTAATCAAAGTTCATTCAAGACAGACTTGCATAGTCTCGCTTAGTGCGCACACCCGCGATATTTAAGAAGCCCAAATAAATGAATGAACTATAGATCGACCAAATGAGTCGGAAAGCCTGCAAAACGAGAGCGGTGTTTCTTTCCTTTTTTTTTTTTTTTTTTT